GCGGGCGGCAGCCGTCGTGAGGGCGGTCTAGCGCGGGTGGCGGCCTACGGGCACGAGGCGGCGGCGCGCGGCGGTCGACGAGTAGCTCGCGGGCTGTGCTAGGGGCCGCGCGAGGCCAGGGCAGGCTGCGTGTGGGCGGCGTCAACGGTGCGGGCGGCTAGCGGGCTACGCGCACGAAAAACAGGCCGCGCGCGCGGGCGGCTAGCAGCTGCGCACGGGCAGCGTGAGAGGAAGGGGCACGCGAGGGCGCACTAGGAACAAGGCGCACGAGGGCGCGAGTAAGGGACGGCGCACGAGGGCGCTTCTAGTGGAACGGTGGGCCCTTAGGAACTAGGTTCCTAACCTAGGCTCGTAATACCATGGTAGAATGAGAAAAGTGATTGCACTAGGAAAAGGGTTGGGTACAAGTAGGAAAACCTAAACTTACTGTACCCCATAGTATCTACCCCACTACAACCGAAACAAACTGTAGTAGATATAACATTTGACAGCTGAGGGGAGGGGATAAAGTGGGTGGGCTCAAGGGGAGCTGAGAGTATGAGGTGGTATGGGGGGAGGGGCGAGATAACGAGGTGGGCTGGGGGGAGGGGCGAGTGACTGAGCTGGGCTGGGGAGAGGGGCGAGAGACTGAGGTGAGTTGGGGCGAGGGGCTAAAGAAAGAGGGGGGAACAAACAGACATGCTACAAACAAATTGGCTGAAAAAATCAACCATCGCTAATTAATCAGGCAAGGTATCGGTATGAATAGTATGTTTTGATGCGAGATCATGGTAAAAACGCCGAAAATTCAGGGGCTGCACTTGAGCCTCAAAATTACTTGCCCTATTGTGGCAGCCGTCTAAGCGGTTAGTACTCCGGAATGATGATGGTCACTTATTAACTGCAATGGTGCAGGTGCTGTCAACAGGGGTCGTGTTAGGCCCCGTCCTCGTTTGGGCGGAGCCGACTTCGTGGTCGGGTGTGAGGGGTGCAGCCGACCTACAGCAGTGGGGCGAGCTAGTCGACGGGGCTAGTCGGCCTGCACGGGGGCCACTGCAAGGGCGCCGACTTTGGGAGGGCGCCGACTTCGGGTGGTTGACCTGGCAAGGTCGACATTGGAGGCGTCGACTTGGGGACGCCGACTTGGGGTAGCCGACTTGGTGTGGTCGGTTAACTGCTGTGCTGGTCAGCCTGGAGTTGGTCGACCAGGAGTGTCGTCGACCGGGAGCTGGTCGACCAAAGGAGAGGTCGACTGGAGGTGGTCGTCGACTTGGGTGGTCAACGGGCACATTAAGAAGCAGCTGGTCGACGTGTTTGCCCAATTGACCAGGTTACCTGGGTGACAAGGTTCTGTGGAGGAGTGCGACGATTGCCTAGGTGGTAGTGGCGAGACCGACCTCAGTGGTGGTATCCCGAGGTCGACGTGGCTGATCAGATGTAGTCGTCAGCACAAGGTTGATTTGGTGTGTGCGCTGTGTAGGTGACAAGGCACGGCATGCCAATCATCTGTGAGCACCTGCGAAGTAGGTGCGCTACTGTACTGCAGGAGCAACGCTGGCACGCCGTCGACCCGCAACGTTGTCATGTCGTCGACTTACAGCGTTGGCGGGCCGCGACTCTGCGCTGCTGGAACGCGGTCGACGAAGTCGTGCTGGAACGCTGCGCTGGCAGTCGACCTGCTTGCATGCTAGCTCTGATGTAGTTTGTTCTGCCAACTTTTTTGTTCTATTGTTGTCAACTTTTCCTAGTGGAACTCTTGCCAATTCTCCCCGTAAACTTGCAAGTAGTGTGCATACAAGAAAACGACTAAAAGACAGAACGCAGAGATCACACGAGCACCCGTGCCTAGCCCGTAGTCTAGCTCCCGTTGTAGTAGTTATCTCCGCAGGTGCAGGTGAAGCACAGATACTGTACACGGAGCCATGAAGCTGATTCGTTGCTCTGCCATAGCTGGATCAACGCATTCACTCCTCTATCTAAAGGTGCAATGCAGTAGTTGCAGGAAACATTGCATCTATTGGCGGTGGTGGGTGACAGTCTGCTCTCTGGGTCATGTGTAGAAAAGCCAGCTCCTTGCTTATATATAAAAAATATTGTTAAAAACTATTGTAAAAAATGATAAAAATGCATGATATAAAAATGTTTGAAACTCACTTGTATCAAAACTCGTATTTCAATCGATGAAAACATTAATACGGTATAAGGGAAAGTAGTGTTGTATTTTAGTCTCCAATATCAAGGCTTGGGCCTTGCTAGCTGGGCTGTGATTCGGTATATCGTACTTTGAGGCCATGCAGAAATGACTTTTAAATGCAGTTGTCGTGATGTTGACTTAGCCTAGGTTAAGGAGAAACCTAGGTTAGGGACGAGGGGAAGTGAGATGACGAGGAGTTTGGCGAATATGTCATATGTTAAGGCCTTTAGTGATGTGTGTCATATGGGGTACAACAGTTAGGGTTATGTTTATGTACCCCCAACCAGCCTTAGTTAAAACATCATTCAGTTCTGGTCTTCAAGGCGCGCTGTGTGGTTAGAGGCTTCAGTCAGCGCAAGGGAGTTGACTTCTTTCAGACCTTCGCGCCTACCCCGAACATGACCACTCTTCGGGTGTTACTGCACATAGCAGCATAGAGAGACTACGAGCTACACTCTCTCGACTTCTCCACTGCCTTCCTTCAGGGTAGCCTACACGAGGAGGTCTGGTTGCGTCGTCCCTCTGCCTTCACTTGCACTTTCCCTCCTGGGACCCAGTGGATTCTGAGGTGGCCGGTCTACGGTCTTCATCAGGCGCCTCGTGAGTGGCACGACACCCTTCGTTCTACCCTGTCTGACCTCGGTTTCCAGCAACCTTTTGCCGACCCGTCGCTGTTCGTTCGTCGTGGCTCCACACCGTTCTTTGTATTGGTCTATGTCGACGACCTGGTTTTCGCCACCGCTGACAGGGTTGCTTTGGCTTACGTGAAGTCCGAATTGCAGACACACGTGCACTCATCTTAGTGAGCTGCGCCACTACTTTGGCCTGCAGATCACCAGGGACAGAGCTGCTCGCACCATTACACTCTCACAGTCACACATGGTGCAGCAGGTCCTTCAGCGGTTCAAGCTTCAGCACTCCACAGTACAGCGCACACCTCTTGCCATTGACCACAGACACAATGGTACATTTCCTGACGAGCCATTTGAGCCTAGTGGTCCTTACGCAGAGCTTGTGGGCTGCCTCATGTACCTAATGACTTGTACTCGCCCAGACCTCGCCTTCCCTCTCAACATCCTTGCTCGCTTTGTTGCGACAGGGAGACACCGTCCTGTTCACTGGACAGCTGCTGTGAGGGTGTCGAAGTACCTAGCGACAATATCAGGCGAGGGGCTGGTTCTTGGAGGGAGGCAGTCTGTCGTACTTACTGGTCACTGTGACTTTCTTACGCTGACGACACCGAGACTCACAGGTCTACTTAGGGGTACTGTTTCAGCCTGGGCTCTGGAGCTGTTTCGTGGAGGTCCACGCGTTCCTCCTCAATCTCGGCCTCTACCGCTGAGGCGAGATCTACGCTGGAGCCATGGCTGCATAGGAGCTGCGCTGGTTGACCTTCTTGCTCATTGACCATTGTGAGCAGCTGAGCTCTGCAACGACCTTGTTTACTAACAACAAGGCATCGATTCTCCTCTGTCGAGAGCCGCGACTTGAGAGCAGTTCGGGTTAGGTTTATGTACCCCAACCAACCTTAGTTAAAACATCATTCAGTTCTTGACAAAATAATGTTGAATAATGAGAAACAGTACAAGGATATAGGTAAGGAAAAAGGAGGCACACTACATACAACACAGCAACTGATTACATACACTACAGTTTACACCGCATAAAGTTATATTCAAACAGCGGTAATGACTTCTGCATGTGGTAATGACTTCCGCACGCGGTCATAACTTCTGCATGCGGTCATAACTTCTCCATACGGTTATGACTTTTGCATGCGGGCACTGTGCGGAAGTCGTGCAGTCACAAGTTTCAGGTGCACGACGATGACTCCCGCACGCGCAGCTTGTGGAGGTGATCAAGCTTGTAGTCGACTGCTTGTCATAGCATGCAAAGCTGAGGTCGCTTGGGAATAGGCAGGCAAACACAGCGATGATTGTTAGTTGCACTATAGAGACGTAGGCCATGAGCCGGGTTGGGGCCCAACCAAGTGTTGAAGCCCACATGGGACTGCATCACATGGGTACATACAGTACCGTCTCCCCCCGGATATAAGCGCCACCCTAGGATAAGCGCCTGGCGCTTCTAATTGGCATATGGCGCTTATATCCCCTCCTCGATTATAAGCGCACCCCTTGAAAAAACTTGTTTTATTATAAGCGCACGTAAACTTTAAAATTTGAAATGTGTTCAAAAAGCTGTAACGATTTTTACTTTAGCAGGCGGATATGTTGCAGATTCGGTTCCCTTCACATTCGGACCCTGCACTGGATGCGGGTCCAGTCAGCAGGACCTATCAGGAGCTGGATGTGAGTCAGATTGGGTGTATCTCCCAGCGCGCGCGAGAATTTCACAGACGATCCCATGTAACTTCGACTCGATTGAAAAGGCAAGCACGAGACCTACAGTTTGGTGTTAAAAGATATAAAAAGATATGTATGTCATTTTATAAACACCGGCGCTTATAAATTTACTCGATTATAAGCCCACCCCCATGAAAAAACCTGTTTTATTATTGCCCCCCATGGGGGTATATCCGGGGGGATACGGTACTTGTAATCTCTCTTTATTCAACACAACACACACACACAACGCAACCCACCACCATTCACCACTGTATCACAGCAAAGGCCTGGTTCTGAATTCCGTAGCGGCAATGCAACGGCCACACCCAGGTCCCAACCCAACCAACACAAGAAGCCTCTCGTCACTACGGTATCAGTTAGTCAAGCAGCACCCTTGGGCTCTTGGCCGGCTCACGCACACCCTGGCCGGCAAACCGGCGCGCCAGTTAGTCAAGCAGCGCTCTCACGCTCGCATCAGCGAATCAGCTGGCGGGCCCTAATTGGCTGACGTCCACTACAGCATCCTCAGGCACAGTCAACCCCACCAGCGCATCACCAGCATGCCGGCGGCTCCCCGACATGCTCCTTTCCTCTTCCCTCCAAGCCCCACCTTTGCTGCTCCCTGACCCACCCACACCCACTAGCCCGCTCCTCCCTGCACCTTCCCCCCACCCCCCGTTGCCGACTCCTAGAACCTCCCTTTCGGCTTCCCTTGAGCCTGCCTGCCAACTGGCACTGCCCTGCCTTTGAAGCGCCTCGGGAACTGTGCCTGCCTGCCACCTGGCGCTGCCTTGATTCTGAAGCGCCTCAGAAACTGAGCTTGGCCGCCAGCTGGCGCTGCCTTGCCTTTGAAGCGCCTCAGAAACCGACCCTGCCTGCCACGTGGGGCTGCCCTGAGGTGGAGCCTCCCCCTGCTGCGCCCGCGCATCTGCCAGCGCGTCGCGCGCTGACGTGGCGCCACGTATGCTGGAGATGTTGTGCACGTCAGCACCGGAGATGGTGGGGGCGGCCAGGAGAGAGGAGGCTGCTGATCCGCCCTTTATAGACACGTCCTGGAGGGGGGGGGAAAGAAGGGGGACGCAGGGGGGAGCAGGGAGGGGGGGAGGGAAGGAGATAAGGGTGGAGCCACCCTTTATGGACACATCCTGGGGGTGGGAGGGGGAGGATACAGGGGGGAAGGGAAGGGGAAGGGTAGAAATGGGAGAGTGGAAGGGGAAGGGTAGGGGGAGGGGGGGGGCGGTGATGGCGGAGTCACCCTTGACAGACACGTCATTGGAGGGGGCAAGGGTACAATGGGGCGAGGGAAGGGAAGGGGGAAGGAGGTGAAGGCAGAGGCACACCCTTTACAAATATATATATTAAACCGGACAGCTCACCTTCTTCCAGAAGCTATGAGAGGATCGCTGCATGGCATCATGGTCCAGGAAGAAGACGACAACGCTGATGTCATCGTGGTAGTCCCGCCGCTGCCCGGACGGCATGCGCAGTAAGTCGTTGTACAGCATCTCCGTCTTCTCTGCCGCCCGCTGCAGCGCCGTCCGGATTAGCTGGCGAGCCACGTCCTGTAGCAGCAGGATGGGATGGGCCCAGAGGAATGATGAGGGTGATTCTGTTCTGGGTTGACTCAGAAAAACGATAGGCAGATCACGGAGGAATGACAACGGCAACGACGGGCTACGCTGCGAGGCAGTAGCGGGACAAACGAATGGCGGCAAGTCGTGAAGCAGCATTGGGGTGCAATGGCATCCATTAATGACATCCTTCAATGAAAACGTCGGAGTTTATCCTTTTGAGGACACAGATACGAGCAGCCACAAGTGCAGCACCTTGCTCATGACTAGAAAGAGGAGGGGACAAGGAACAAGGCAGCAGCAGCATGCACATGTACCAAGGCGCCTGGAAAAGAAGAGAACAAACCTTCCTAGGGCTGCTCGCCACGATGTTGACGTCCTCCTGCTTGGAGAGGAACTCAAACAGCCCGTCCGAGGCCACGATGACAGCCAGCCAGCCCATCTGCACCGCTCTGCACCGCACTACGACCCGCCTGCCCACTCACCTTCCTAGGGCTGCTGGCGACGATGTTGACGGCCTCCTGGTTGGAGAGGAACTCAAAGAGCCCGTCGGAGGCCACGATGACAAATGAGTCGTGCGGCGAGAAGACGCGCACGGCCACGGAGGGGTCGGCGGAGATGAGCGGCGGGTTGAAGGGCTCCGGCACTCGGAAGCGCGACACGAGGGGCTCCCGATTGAAGTCGGTGGACTTGAGATAGAGGTCGCCAAAGGCCTTGGTGACCTAAGGATGGGGGCGGTAGTAGGGAATGGAAGTTGGGGATTAGTGACAGAGACGCAGGAAATAAGGGTTCTCGACAGAAAGTTTGTGGAGTTGAGATAGAGGCCTGCGGTGGGAGGGAGTATGGGGGCGGTGCATGAAAGGGAAATTGAGCAGGACCCATGGAATGGAAGGTGGATGGATGGGGAGGGGCATCGGGTGGGTCGGTCGGAGTGGTTACGTTACATCATCGCCCTCAGCATAAATATTTTCCCTTCACAAGCGTCCACAGTGCTCGACAATCGGAATGCTCACATCTAACAAACTTCTCGACCTCACCATCACTTTGCCCTCACCATCACTTTGCCCTCACCATCACTTTGCCCTCACCATCACTTTGCCCTCACCATCACTTTGCCTTCACCATCACTTTGCCCTCACCATCACTTTTCCCTCACCATCACTTTGCCCTTCACACGGAAGCGGCCGCGGCGCTCAACAACGGCATCGGGCATGTCGGCATGCTCCGCGATGTACTTCTCTCTGATGGCCGGCACTGACAGGTTGTGGTCCGTTGATAGTTGCACTGCTCGGCACTCCACCCCGTCTGACACTTGCCGCACCTGCTTGGATGGGGTAGGGAAAGGGGGAGGGGAAAGGGAGAGGAGAGGAGGGGAAGGGAAAGAGGCACCGACAGGTTGTGGCCCGTGGACAGCTGCACTGCCTGACACTCGACACCGTCTGACACTTGACGGACCTGTTTGGAGGGTGGTGCGGGTGGGGGGGGTGGGTTTCATTCATCCTTATCTTTGTGAAGAGTGTTGGCTCTGAAGATGTATTAGTCCCTCAGAGCCTCGATAAATTCCGCCATCATCAGATCACCGCCACATCCCAGCATCGCCTACGACATACGACTTGGGTTTCTCGCCCTGCTCCCACCCTCCCGTCCCGCCTATGCCATTATTAGTGAGATGGTTGTTGGTAAGCCCCTGGCCTCCAAAACGGCCGCCTGCATGCATCACCTTGCTGAGCAACCACTGTGCTTGGATCAACACCCAGTGGAATCAGTTGTTGCGTGTCTTGCATCAGGGCTCATCTCATCCTGCTCCTGCGATATGGGTTTGTGAGCTTAGGTATGACAAAGAAGAGATGCTAGGCACACATTGGTGGCACAATGGTCAGCAGTCACCGACATTGGCAACCCTGGTCATCCCGGCCTTTGCATCGGGAAAGGGAGGGCCTGGAGCCCATCCGAGTCCGTGCAAGGGTGGATTTCATCCTTGGGATGGATAGGAACCTGTACAAAGAAAGCTCCCACCCTCGCAGCAGTCACCGGCATTGGCAACCCTGGCGGCGCAACGGACTCGTCATGAGATCAGAGAAGCCAGCCATGGAGCACGACTCGTGAGACATCTCAAATGCACCTGGCCCAGCTCGACGAAGCAGCTTTGATGCGCATCAGAAGAACAAGCAAGCAGCAGCCTGCCCGCATACAACAAGACCCACAACACACCTGGCCCAGCACGGCGCGGCACTCGCCCACATTGGTGACCCGGATGGCAGAGGGGGTGATGAGATCATGAGAGCAGCCCCAAGGCACAACTCTTGAGACGTGTCATCAGAAACAAACCCACCTGACCCAGCACGGCGCGACAGTCGCCGACATTGGCGACCCAGATGGCAGTGGGGGTGATGAGGGCGGCCACAGAGCACGCCCCCACCATGGCCAGGTGCGGGCTCTCCTCAAACGCCTCCCTCACAATGGCCGCCAGCTGCCTCTCTGTTGCGTCAAAGCCCTTCCGCAACGCCTCCACTGACACCCCGTTGCCCTCCGTGCACTCGCCTGGGGACAAGAGACATGCAAGTGAAGCGAGATTGCACCAACGGCAAAAGGAAGACAAGTTGATAGGGAGGGAGAGCGGGTGGCTTCACACAGTGGGGACAGCCCACCAGACGACCCACCTGCACATTGCTTGACTTGTGAAAAATATTGCAGTGTTTGGGCCTCACTTGGCCGTGAGAACGGGCCGGGCCGGATCTCTGGTGGAACGATCTGACAAGTCAGCTCAATCTACTGTTGCAGAGTGCGTTGCCCACTCATAATGTGGCTGTACAATGCTTTTTTGAGGTGCCTAAAATACAAACTCACTCATGATGTTGTTGTATAGTGTTACACTCACTCATGATGTTGTTGTACAGTGTTTCCCGTAGAAACTCCGCCGCCTCACTCCCGTTGTGCCCATCGTGAATCCCGATGAACACCCCGCGACTCGACGATTGCACCTGCGCACACATCACGAGGAGATGGGATAAGAACAGGTGGACCATCAATGCTCAACAAAAAGACTTGAGCGAAACGTAGGAGAAACGGAGATAGCGGCGTGTGTTCTCAACTCAAGGGCCTTGTTCCACATGCGCCGAGTTACCAGTTGACGAACAATCAAGAAACCAATGCACTGTACTAACCTCTACAGTATCTTCCACGATGTAGCCGGCCTCATACATGGCCAGGGAGAAACGCGGGCCGAGTTACCAGTTACCAGTTTCCAGTTTCTAGTCCACTTGCAATGCAGCCAAGAAACCAATGCACCCCACTCACCTCCACAGTATCCTCAATGATATAGTTGCCTTATACATGGCCAGGGAGAATCGCCCCAGGTGCGTGCTCTCAAACGCCTTGTGCCACACGGGAAGACAAGACTTTCCAGATTCCAGTTGACCAGGTTCCAGATTCCAAAAACAAACCAGCACGCTGCACTGCAGCACTCACCTCAACAGTGTCCTCCATGATATAGTTGGCCTCATACATGGCCAGCGAGAATCGCCCCAGGTGCGTGCCCTCCAGTGCCTTGTGCCACACAGGCCGCCGCGCCTTCCTCTCCCCCACGTTCCACCCCTTGGGGTGCAGGCTCTGCGCCAGCTGGCTCAGGCTGCCGCCCTTGCCGCCCCCCTTGCCGCCCTTGCCGTCCCTGCCTGCCGCCCCGGTTGGGCCGTACCCGTTGTGGCGGCTGGTGTTCTTGGCGGCTGCTCGGGAGAAGAGCGTTGAGACATGCTGGTTGTGTTGTGGGTGGGGAAGGGGAGGAGCGGGGGGATTTCAGATGCCTGAAAAATCATATCCGTTGTGGCGGCTGGTGTTCTTGGCGGCTGCTCGGGAGAAGAGCGTTGAGAAATGCTGGTTGCGCAGTGGGAAGGGGAGGAGGGGGGAAGGGGGAAAGGGGAGAGTAGAAAAAAGAGATGAACGGGCGAGACAGGTGTTGGGATGGGCGAGCGTGCTCAGGTGGTGAATGAGAGCATTGGAGGAGAGAGTTTGCACAGGGGCGATTGCTCTGTTGACTGGGGCGAGAGTTTGGAGGGTAAAAGGAGAGACGCAAAAGGTCAGATGAGAGGGATGGGGAGGGAGGTATTATGTTGCAGCTTGTAACAACGGATTTTGTCAAGGTCTAAAAGAAAAAGAGGTCCGAGAATGGAGAAAAAGGGGTTGCATGACATGACACGTGTGCAGATGCTAAGATGAGAAGAAACAAGCAAGAAGGTGGTTTGAAGATAAGGGTTTCCAAGAGAGCAGTGATGGAGCAGGGGAAGAAGGTGAAGCAGGCATTCTGAAGCCTGGATGGATGATGGATGGACATTGTCACACCAGCACTGATTGCGACAATGTCCAATCATGGGTTATAACTGAACTTTATATGCCAATCATGGGTTGTAACAGAACTTCATATGCCAATCAGCGCAAAGATGATGTGAAACCCTTCAGCAGTCAACCCAGCAAGGACATATGTGCCAGGTCAGCACACGATGTTTTCTCCCCCACACCACACACCTGCAGCTTGCGCCACGTCAGCAGCCTGCGTGCCATGCTGTCGCCATCCTCCACCACGTCAAACGCCTCGTCATCGTCGTTGCCCCCGTGGAATGCCACATCCAGCCCCACCTGTCAGCAGAGAGGGAGGGAGAAAGAGATATGCCTATAGTTGAGCTGAGCTGACTTTTGAGTCGACTCAAACCTTGTGATCGTCGTTAACCCCGTGATATGCCGTGCCCAACCCCCCCTGTGAGTAGAGAAGGAGAGAAATGTACCCAGTCGAGAGAGGGAATACTGTAAACCCTAAAATCAAGGTAAACAGTTGAATCGGGTGCGAACCAGCCAAGGACCGTGTTCGATTTTGGGTGAAGTGCAAGAAACGAATCGACACAGAAACTTGTAAACAATGATGCAAATCAAGATCAAAGACACGAAACTCAGGATCGGATAATTAAAATCTGAGTGACCATGAGCATGTAATCCGGCAGACGCCTCAGAAAATTCGATGACCCATTCAAGTGAAGGTTGAAGAAGCACAAACCTTGCAACGAATTTAGAGGCACCTACAAAACTAGAATCATGCAAGTGAAGGGAGAATGAAACAAACCATGAGACGCCGGCTGAATTGAATTCCCCCAATCCCCCATCCGCATAACCATCCCCTATTCCCTTTACCCGCTTCCCTCCCCTCGCACACACACACTCCCATCCATGCCTCCCCGTCTCACCTCCTCCTCGTGCCTCTTGACTCGCAACACGTCGAAATAGTGCAGCGCGTAGAACAGGACAAAGGACGAGAGGCCCACCCACGCGTACACCAATAGAAGGCCCAGGATCTGCGATTGAGGAGAGGGAGGGTGGGGGATGAGAGAGGGAGACGGAGAGAGATAGAGTGAGTGAAGCTATGGAAAGAGCGATGGGAGGGCTGACAAGAAGCACTACAGCGCACTGGGAGGACATGACAGGGGAAGTGGAGTGACATGACAGGAAGTGGAGTGACATGACAGGAAGTGGAGTGACATGACAGGAAGTGGAGTGACATGACAGGAAGTGGAGTGACATGACATGACGTGACGTGACGTGACGTGACGTGACGTGACGTGACGTGACATGACGTGACATGACGTGACATGACATGACATGACGTAACATGACATGACTTGACGTGACGTGACATGACATGACATGACGTGACATGACACGACATGACATGACACGCCCTTGTGATTGCAAGTGCCTTTTACGGCAGCTGTGTGCCCCTTTACAGCAACTGTGTTCTTCCACAACCGCCAAAGAGGCCGCAAGGCACAGGGCGGATGGAATGTGCGTCTACATACGAGAGAGAGCCAGTCAATTAACGATCTTTAAAACAGTTAAAAAAAGTGGATGGGATGTGCGTTTACATAGGAGAGAGTAAATAGACGCTACTATAGAGGCACCTGGTGTTAGAATTATATATTGTGTAGCATGCCAACACATGTGACTGTACACCAATTGTGGTGTACAGTTGGGTTGGGACTACACCCAACTTTGGGTGTAGTCTTGCACTTTGGGGTGCCAATCCACCCAATTGTGGTGGGGCCCCCAAATGCAACCCACTTGGCTTATGGGTGCCTCACTTCCCACAAAAGAGGTCATCTCAAGACAAGTGGGCCTAGGGTTGCCTCACTTCTACAAAGTGTGGGCAACCCAACCCACTTGACCTATGGTTGCTTCACTCCCCCAAGTGAGGTCAACCCAACCTATGGTCACATTCGCCTTTCTCTTCCAAGCCTCTCTTCCAACGATGTATGCTAGGTTTCTCCTCTAATGAAGTTACTTGTTCAATTTACTACTTTCACACCTGGAACCACATCTGCCCCCTCACCTGCACGTGCGGATCACACCTCCACCAGGCCTCACCTGCATGAGCAGCTGCACGAGCAGATCACACCCCACCAGACTTCACCTGCACGAGCAGCTGTGAGCCGCCGCAGCCGTAGAAGAGGCCGCAGGGCACGGGGTCGGAGAACTGGTAGGTGCGCTGCACTGCTGCTGGCGAGGCGAAGAAGCCCACGGCCACGCTCCCCCACGTGCCGCAGCACAGGTGCACCGCTGTGGCCTGTGGATGGGACATGGCGAGTGGGGTGGGTTGGGACGGATGGTGATGGGGAAGTCCGGTGCAGAGACAAGAGCAAGTCAGGTTGCGCACAGGCGGCACGGCACAAATGCACACGCTTCTGGTGCTGGGGCACTAGAAGCAAATGCACATGCTTCTGGTGCTGGGGCACTAGAAGCAAATGCAATTGCAATTGCAACGCACAGGCGGGACGGCACTGGCGTCCGCTGGGGTGGAGGTGCGGAGAGAGGGGTGGGGAGGGATTAGGGATGAGCAAAATTCCGAACGCCTGTTCGGTTCGCCTCGAACAGGCATTTTTTTTTGCCTAAATTGTTCGGGCCGAACATGTTCGGTGTTCGGCCGAACATGTTCGACGTTCGCACCAGAATTTCGGGTCTCCAAGCCGAACACGAACATGTTTGTGTTCGACTTGGGGGCCACACGAACACCAAAAAGGTTCGCGTCAAAATTGGCCGCGACCAGATTTAGGTCGCGACCAATTTGTGTTTGAGCTCATTTCGTGAGCTCAAACTCAGAACTCGTTTTCGCCTTCTTGTTCTAGGTGCAAGCAAGTGCACGCTGATACTTGCAATGTACACGGACATTAGATCTATGCATAGGGTTTAACGTAGTGTAGGGTGTTTAGGGTTACTATTAAGGTTCAGCCAGCATCTCCGCAAAGGGCTCAAGTAGGGCGTATCCTACGCCGTAGGATTCGGATCGGGCATTTCAGAGACCTAACCGTGCGGGATAACGTTTAGGAACGTGCGGCACCATCCAACGCTACCGTTGCAGGAAGGGTGTTTTAGGGTTTAGGGTCGAGGGCGGAGTTATGGCTTCCAGGGCTGGTGGATCCATAGGCCGAGGTGCAGGCAGGGCTCAGGGCAGCGCACCGGGTTCTCCACCACGACCTATGCAGGGGCGAGTAGGGGATGGACCGGGAGGAGCCGGCGCGATCTTCGTTGGGGGGTTGCTTACCGTACCGGCGCCGACCTCTCGTCGCTCTTTCCGTTACGACGGCCCTCGACCCCCTCCTTCGGGGCAGACGCAGACGCAGCCGGAGAGCGGCAGTGAGGAGGAGGATGAGGAGGAGTATGGTGAGGGCGAGAAGGAGGAGGACACTGAGGGGAGCGGGGATGACAGCAAGGCGGCGTGGGACCCAGAGACGCATGGCGGTGGGGAGGGGGGAGATGATGATGATGAAGACCACGAGATGGATCGGTTGGAGTCAGAGGGGCGGGAGGAGGAGGTGGGAGAGGGTGGTGGAAGGGCGGCGACAGAGGCGGGATCACAGCATGTGCGTGAAGGGGGAGGGAGCGTGGGGGTTAAGGTGGGGGGGAGAAAGGCCGTGACCATTAGGGAGCCGAGGCAGAGGAAGAAGGCCAACAAGTTGAGGGAGCGGGCGTATCCCTGCACGTTCACTGGGGAGCCCTTGGGCGAGGGTGTGATCGCTCCCGAGTTCCTAGACGAGGACGGAGGGTCCAAGAGTAGTAAGGGGACTGGCAAGGGTAATAGGAAGCCGGGGTGGCAAGTAATGATGTTTGGACCGTTAGGGGCAGACGATAAGCGTCAGTGCAAGATTTGCACAGACAAGTTTTCGTGGAAGCAATCCACAACAACCCCTGGCGAGCGGCACTTTGCGAGCTTCCACACTGCGCACATGCATGTGTGGCATCCCCGTTACCACACCCCGTCCGTTCACTTGCCAGGGGAGACGTTTCCCCATGGGGGCTACAAGGGAGTGCCGGATGGCTACGTCTATCAGTGGCCACATGCCAAGACTTGGCCGCAGCTCGCCAAGGGGAAAGGGATGGCGACTGGTGGAGGTCATGTGTCAGGCGGGATGGAGCGGTGGATGACAACCAAACTGACCTCGGTGCAGCTACGGCAGGCGATCACGAAGCTGGTGGTCACCTGCGACCTCCCCTTCCGCATCGTCGAGGCCGAGGCTGTAAGTGCCCCATCCCATCCCATGCATGATTGGGCAAGTATGTGGTTAGTGGACGGGTCTGTCCCTTTGTGTTTTGACTGTTTGCGTGTGGCCCAGTGCTATATTATTTTCATCCCATCCCCCTGACGTTTACTCCCCTCTCCCCCCTTGTCTCTACCCCTCTCCAGTTTCATGAGCTACTCATCCTGCTAAACCGCAACTGCGCGCAGAAGAACTTCATCCCCTCGCGCTGGACGGTTTCCCGCGACACAGTGGTCTATGCGGCTGCCGCTCTTCAGTCAGCCATTGTGGAGATGCTGGCGAAGGAGGGGGAGCTGGGGTGCAGGGTGTCATTCACCATCGACATGTGGTCGGCGCCCAACAACAGGGCGTGGCTAGTGGTAACGGGTCACTGGATCGACGAGAATTACCAGCTCCGCACAATGGTGTTTGAATTCCGCGAGATTCACGGGCGTCACACGGGCAAGCAGATGGCGAGGGTGGTTGAGGAGACGGTGGTGCAGTGGGGGTTGGAGACGCGTTGTCTTGGGTTCACCTCAGACAACGCCTCCAGCAACACTGCTGCTTTCAGGTGGATGTCGGAGGAGGGTGGTGGCCAGTGCTTCTTCAACTCGCGCATGCACTTCCGGTACGAAAGGGAGTGTGCGTGGGATGTGCGATGAGGGAGTCTGGGTGCGTCGTTCCTGTGAACATTTTGTGGTTGTAGTACGGGCGGGTGGGCCTATGCGGCTTGAGAGTGGTAGTGTTTCTCGGGTCTATGCCAATGTGTACTCACACTTCCCTTTCTCTCCGCCATTAATGTTTTGTGATGTGCGCAGATGCCTGGCACACGTGATCAACCTTGCAGTGAAGGCAGCTCTCGCTGTGACCGCCATCCGCAAGTTGCTGAAGATTCTGAGAGAGATGGCGTCGTGGATAGGCTTCTTGCCGCAGCGCTCAGGGAAGTTCTTGGGCCTTCAGCGGACCCTGAACGCGCAGGGCAACCCCGCCAAACCGAAGCCGGCATTGAAGCTGGTGCAGGACAGTCCCACACGCTGGGGGTCGACCCACGACATGGTCGAGCGAGCTGGGGTTCTGCAGGAACCCATCTCTGTCTTCTTTGCCCAGACACAGGTGTGTGTGTGTGCCAGGTGTTGTGTATGCGGTTTTATGTGTTGGTATGTCGGGGTGTTTTGTTCTAGGACTTGCACCACTGTTGGCCATGCTTGACTAAACTTATCGGACCTCCAACAACCTCAACCACCCCACTTTCCACCCTAACACCCGCCCACCCATACGTTCTACCCGACAGGGCGTGTCGAAGGCTGACAAGGCGAAGCTGGACACCTTGCGCCTGACGGACGCAGACTGGGAGACTCTGCATTCTGTCAAGACCTTCCTCAGCCCATTCGCCAAAGTCTCAAAGGCCGCGGAGGGAGCGGCGTACCCTACAGTGGCGATGGTCCTGCCGTACTACAACGGCCTGATCGACGCTATGGAGTCGCGCCTTGCCAAGGGGCCATCGGCTACGCTGAAGCCGATGATTGAGGCGGCGCTGAGTCTCTTGAAGAAGTATGAGCTGATGTCAAGCAACGAGTTGTGGATCGCGACCTTCCTGGACCCTTCCATGAAGGCGGCGTGGTTCGACGACGCGCACTGGGAGACGCTGCATCCCGATACCGACCGGAGGGCGAGGCCTCGTTCCTCGTCAGGCGAGGTGATCCAGCTGGTTCGCGAACGCGTGGCCAAGTACCAGGCCCGGGCTGCAGCGATTGCCCCTCGGCCGACCCCACTTGCCCCAGTGACGGAGGAGGAGGAGGGAGACGCGGCGGATGACGACGAAGACGCCGAGTTTCTCCCCAGTCGCCGACGCCTTGCGGCGTGTCTGTCGGCGAGCTAGGAGGTGGGGAGGGGTGGGATGGTGCAGGATGACGAGGTTGGCAGGTACTTATCTGAGAGGGTGCGGTGCGACGTGTCAGCGTTGGAGTATTGGCGCAGCGCCACCAACATGCAGACGCTGAAGCGCATGGCCCGGGATTATCTTGCCATCCCTGCCACGTCCGCGTCGAGCGAGCGCGTGTTCTCCCTCGGCCGCAACCTCATTTCCTGGAAGCGGCACCGCCTAGCCTCTCAGAGGACGCAAGCTTCCATGATTCTCAGATCATGGTACAGCTCACACCCTGGACAGAGGATAGGCGAGGGCCGACGTGCAAAAGGCGAGGCACCACCAGAGTTCGCCATTGAAGGCGAGGGGGAGGATGAGGACGACGAGTGGGAGGAGGAGGGGGAGGAGGAGCAGGAGGGGGTGGGTGCTGGCGACACCTCTGACGCGGAGCATGCTGTTGTTGGTAGTAGCAGTGGTGTGCAGGCGTAGGATTTAATTTGACAGTGACTTTTATATAGGCAAAACATGATGGTGTCGTATGCTAGTGTGCGTTGCATGAACACATATACACCCTCCACCCCCCTATCTATCTTCCCAACCCTCCAGATTCCCTGTTTGACCAATGTGACTATAACGAAATTGCCCACGGGCGAACTCGAACATGTTCGAACCGAACATGTTCGAGTTCGCCCACATATACCAAATGTTCGCCCCCATGGGCGAACGGCGAACACCTCCTGCTTGCCAAATTGTTCGCCGAACCGAACCTTGTTCAGTTCGGGAAATGGTGATGTTCGAGCGAACTCGAACCCGAACGTGTTCGAGTTCGCCCTTTGCTCATCCCTAGGAGGGATGCATGGTGGGTGGGACAAGGGGACATGAAGCGACGGTGGGAGAAGAGGCATGGAGGCAGGGAAGCAGAGAGGCACTGAAACAGTAAGGCCATGAGGCAATGAGGCAATGAGGCTGTGAGGCTGTAAGGCTGTGTGGCTATGAGGCTGTGAGGCTTTGAGGCTGTGAGGCAATGGGACTCACATTAACAGGGTCGTCAATACGGGCCTTATTCACCAGATACACCCCCCCAAGGGGACATGAAGCGACGATGGGAGAAGACGCATGGAGGCAGGGAGGCAGTGAGCCAGCGAGCGAGGCAGTGAGCCAGCGAGCGAGGCAGTGAGCCAGCGAGCTGACTTTTGAGTCGACTCAAAAGTCACCTAGCGAGCAAGGCAGTGAGACTCACATTAACAGGGTCGTCAATGCGGGCCTTATTCACCAGATACACCCCCCCCAGGTACACCACGCCTGCTATGGCCCCTGAAAGGCGGATGGAGGGAGATGGATGGATGATGCATGCAGGGAGATGGATGGATGATGCATGCAGGGAGATGGATGGATGGATGATGCATGCAGGGAGATGGATGGATGGATGATGTATGCAAGGAGAAACGAATTGGCAGGTACACTCGAATCAATCTCTGGAGAGGTGCTGCCAGGTGCCAGGTGTGACGCTGACCCACCAGCTCCTGACCACCTACCCACCAGCTCCTGACCACCGACCCACCAGCTCCTGACCACCGACCCACCAGCTCCTTACCACCGACCCATCAGCTCCTTACCACCGACCCCACCAGCTCCTTACCACCGACCCACCAGCTCCTTACCACCGACCCACCAGCTCCTTACCACCGACCCACCAGCTCCTTACCACCGACCCACCAGCTCCTTACCACCGACCCACCAGCTCCTTACCACACCGACCCACCAGCTCCTTACCACCGACCCACCGGCTCCTTACCACCGACCCACCAGCTCCTTACCACCGACCCACCAGCTCCTTAACCACCGACCCACCAGCTATGTTGGCAGATACGCTCTTGAAAGGCTGGCGTATCACGTATATTCGCTAGCGTATATGCGTGATACGCTGATACGCTCTGAATTCGCGAAAATACGGCCCGGGCAGCCCCGGCGAAAAAAAAAATCCGAAATTGAAAAAACTTTCGCGACGATGTGCGAAGTCGCGAAGTGTTACCGCGACTTCGCTCATGTGCCCAACCCCACTTCTGAACTTCGAATTTCAAAATCCAAACCTTTCCCACCCCCTCAACCACACATCACCCCACCCAACCTCTCAATCCCAACCACCCCCCTTCAAATGTTCTTCCATCGTTTGCACGTATAGGTCGACGTTGCGCAAATGCTCTTCCTTTTTCCTTCCCGCATTTCTCCACTCTTCTTCGTTAGTTAGACTTACGTAGTGCGCCATGGCGTCGGGCTCAGCTCCTAGTACTTCGACGAACAACAATCCAGCCTCTGTCCATGGCTCTACTACCGTCAACACGGATCCTGTTGAGGCTGGACTATCTCACCCCATTCTGAAACATTTCCTCATTCCATTTCACACCAAAGGCAACCCCAAGCTGTGCAAGTTTTGTGGCAAGAAGTTCGAGGGCGGAACAAACCGCTGTGCAATCCATCTCGCGACATGGAAAGGGCAGGAGAAGCGCGCTGTGGCGTTATGCAAGGACGCGCCCACGGCAGTCCGCGATGAAGTCCGTGGCATGTACGAGACCAAGGCGGAACAGCAGGACTTGAAGCGAGGGGCGGCCGCTGCTGCAATTCACTCCGCGCTTGACGCTGTCAGTGGAAACCCGGAGAAAAAGAGCAAAATTACAGATTTCTTTGGCAATGAGGCGACGTGCGCCAAGGAGGACGCGGATAACGCGCTTTGCTTTCTGTTCGCGGCGTTGAAACTTCCGGAGCGCATTGCGGACGATCCGGTCTTCCGCTACGCGGTCCAGTGCATTGCGCGCGCTGGACCTGGGTACGTCCCTCCTAAGAGGCGCTACATTGGAGGGGCAGGCTTGAAGAAGGTGCGGCAGAAAATGGAGGTCGCGTTCGCCCCCGTTGCCGCGAGCTGGAAGCGGGACGGGGTAACGGTGTCGTCGGACATGATGACCGACCGTTGTGGCCGCCCGCAGGCCAACGTGCTCCTTGTCAACGACTCCGGCGCAGTTTTCGAGCAGGCGGTGGACTGCAACATGGAGTCGTAGACCGGGGGGTACATCGCCAGCCTTCATCCGCCCCGTCATTGATAAGGTGGGGCCGGAGAATGTGGTGGCGGTCTGCACCGATGGCGGCAGCAAACTATGCATCGGCCGCCAAGAAGATTGCGAGCACATGGCCGCACATTGAGCATGTGCCATGTACCACGCATGTCCTGGACCTGATGATGGAAGATATGGGCAAAATGGGATGGGCGAAGGGGCTTGTGGAGAAAGGAGGGGAGATGATTACCTTCGTGCGCAACCACCACTTTACCCGTGCCTATATGAAGAAAGTGGGGGGGAAGCAGGTGCTCAAGCCTGCGGGAACCAGGTTCGGGACACAATACATAGCCATGGCCCGGCTATGTGAGGTGAGGAGTGGGCTGGCGGCGATGGTGCTCAGCGACGAGTGGAAGGTGTGGGCAGCGGCGGACAAGGATAGGAAGACAGCAGCTGAGAAATTCAGGGCTGCTGTGATGGATGAGGAGTGGTGGGGGGTGGCGGAGTTCTTTACCTCTCTCATGGCGGTGCCATTCAAGGCCATGCGGGCCACGGACTCTTCCGCGAAAGGCATGATGGGTAAGCTGTATAACATCATGCTACAGCTTACCGAGGACATCAATGACAAGCTCGACGCTTCAAGTGACTTCTTGACTCGGACAGAGAGGGCAGACATCACCAAGATTGTGAAGGACCAGGTGGGACAACTCCCTTGCCTGCCCCATGCATGTGGTTGGCCGGATCCTGAATCCGGCCAACCAGGAGTAGGGAATTTCAGGAACGATGTGGAGTGCACGCGGGTGTTCAAGGACTACATCGAGCGCCACTATGACAACAAGACCTTCAAGCGTGGCAAGGATGGCGCCCCTCGCCGCGCCTCCCTTGTGCTGCAGGAGGCATTGCTGACCTACATCAACATGGAGGGCAGCTTTGGCAAGCCGGGCGCCATTTCTGCAAGGGAGGCAGTGAAGAAGGGGGAGATGAGCATGTGGTGCAGTGGTGGTCGTGGCACAGCACCGAGTATCCTGAGCTTGTCGCCCTCGCATGCCGGGTGCTTCACTCAGCCCGTCTTGGCTTCCCCATGCGAGCGTGGCTGGGCGCAGTGGGAAGGCGTCCCACACCGCCCGCCGCAACCGGCTCGGGTCCGCCAAGTGTGCGGACCTCGTCTACATTGCGCACAACTGGAACGTTGTTGCGCAATTGGTACAAGCAAGGATGGGGGCAGCACGGTTGTGCCCGGTAACATCCCGGATGCCCCTATCCCCCCCGGCTATAACATGGATGAGGAGGGAGGATGACATGCTGGGGGAGGAAGGAGAGGAATGCAGTGCTGGTGTATGAGTATGGGAAGGTGTGGTGGTGGAAAAGCCCCGCAAGGAAATCCGGTTTGTGGGGAAGCTAGCTAGAGGGTGGGGTGGGGGTGGGGGATGTATGGGGAGAAGTAGCCCCAAATATGTATTTCAGGATATTTATGAAATTTAAATTATGACTTGTGTTCTTGGAAAACAATCCCCCCCCCTGAAACAGGTTTTTTTAGCCCTGCCCCGGGAAAAAGTTTTACCCTGCACGCCCAGCGTATTTTTGCGTACTCACCAGTACGCCAGCCCTGGCGTACAGCGTATATACCCAGCGTATAATACGCTAGCGTATTATACCCTGGGAGCGTATCTGCCAACGTAGCCCACCAGCTCTACCACCGACCCACCAGCTCCCCTGCATGCACTCACCAATGATGCACGCAGCATATGCCTCCACAATACTGTCGTGGCACAGGCGGCCACGAGCCCGCCCAATCACGCCGTTCAGCGTGTCCTCCAGATTCGGCTCCCTCCGCCGGTACGTCACAAACCCACACCGCCACGCCCGCAAAGGCGGCGCCACACGGTGGTCGTGGCGCACACGCGCGCGACGTCGGCCACACACGGAGGCGGGCTGCCCCAGGTACTGCACTGAGCCGCCGTTGAACCCGAAGAACCCCACCCAGAGGATGATGGTGCCCGCTGCTATGAACACCTGTGGACGGAGGGAGGGAAGGGGAAGCGGGGGGAGGGGGAAAAGGGAGACTGAGTGGAGGGGGACGGTAGTGCAGTGCTGTCCCTGACCCCCCACATGCAGCAGCAGCACAGCCAGAGGATGATGGTGCCCCCTGTCATGAGAGGGGAGAAGGGCGGGGGGGAGAGGGGTGGGAGGGTGAGAGAAGGGGGAGAGCGGCGGGAGGAGGAAGAGGGAGGACGAGGAGGATGAAAAGAGGTTGGACGGTTTTGTAGTGGTGAGTGAGCAGTCTAACCAATGCCCATGTAGAGACTAGAGATGGTCTAGTAATGACCATGAGGCTGAAACTACAGACCATCACATTGCGATAGTATCTTACCAGGGAGTGCCCTCTAAAGGGTACAACGCGGCCATCAATATCGAATCTTCCTATCCGTGGGCCGACCATCCACGCAGCAACCAATGAGGTGACGCCACCTGTCAAGGGCATGTTCGATGGTATTACAAACGAAACCAGGTTACCAGCTGCTCACTATACAGGAAGGAGCAAAGAGCACATATTACAAAGAAAGCACTTGAGATCACCTGTGCCATGCCCATCTGTGCCATGCCCATCTGTGCCATGCCCATCTGTGCCATGCCCACCTGTGCCCATCTGTGCCATGCCCCACCCACCACCCATCTGTGCCATGCCATCCACCACCCACCCACTAGTGACATGAACGACCATGGAACCAGCATTGTCGAGCACGCCGCGCGTGCCCAACACGTAGTCCCCCGCATCAGCTGACAGCAGCCCATGCCACGCCCACCATGCCCATCCACGACGACCCACCTGTGCCATGCCCACCTGTGACCATCCACCACCCACCCACCAGTGACATGAACGACCATGGAGCCGGCATTGTCGAGCACACCGCGGGTGCCCAGCACGTAGTCCCCCGCATCAGCTGACAGCAGCCCGTGGTGCGACCATATCACGTGTGCGATGACCGGGTAGATGATGGCTGCTAGGAAGAAGCTGGGCGGAGGGAGGCGAGGTGGGGGTTGACAATGGGGAGCAAGCAAAGCAGCACAGGTGCCACTGAGAGCAGCCCATGGTGCGACCAGATGACATGCGCGATGACCGGGTAGATTATGGCTGCTAGGAAGAAGCTGGGCGGGAGGCGTGGGGAGCAAATTGTGAGACATGCGTATGAAGAGGAGAGCGCATGAGACGTGCGGTGTGTGCGTGCGTGCGTACGTGCGTGCGTGCGTACGTGCGTGCGTGCGTACGTGTGTGTGGTGTGTGTGTGTGTGTGTGTGTGTGTGTGAGAGAGAGAGAGAGAGAGAGAGAGAGAGAGAGAGAAAGAAAGAGAGAGAGAGAGGAAACTGCTGGCCACAGCAGCAGCTAGGAACCGCTTCAGGGCCAGCCCCTTGGCGAAATCCGCCAAGAAGATGGCCTGCCACTTCAGCCAGCGCTGGTCAGTGGCCCTCCAGCGCTCCCAGGCGAACGCCCTGCACACCAAGGCCAGGGCTGGGATTGAGGCAGCGCACCCCCAGATGGCAGCGGACCCCTGGCCGCTGCACCTGGGGGACATCTCCACACGCTGGAGGGCTAGAGGGTCACTCAGGGGAGGGGGGGGGATGAGGGGTGAGTTGATGGGCTTATGGGATCGAGGTTATCATGGATAGAACTGCATATCTGTACCCCTGCTGAATTAATACAACGGACCATTGAGAGAGAGAGAGAGAGAGAGAGAGAGAGAGAGAGAGAGAGAGAGAGAGAGAGAGAGAGAGAGAGAGAGAGAGAGAGAGAGAGAGACAAGCAATAACCGTCATTTGCAGAAAAGGCAAGGCTAGAAGCGAGGTGGTTACTTGCTGAGTCCTCTCGGCCTCGGATCCAGCGAAGATGGTTTTTTTAGCCGACTCAAGATTCTGCTCACAAGTCAGTTTTGAGTCGACTGATAAAGAAGGAAGGTGGTTACACACTTGAAGAAGAGGTAGGCGGTGATCTGAGTCCTCTCGGCCACAGCACAGCAAAGATGGTGGCGCTGGTGGCACAGAAGACAAAGTTGAAGAAGAATAGCGCCCCGCTCTCATGGGGCACCACTGCCATCGACACCTGTTGCGAGGCGAGACATGGAGGGCATGGTGTTAACAACTGAACGAGAGAATGAATGACTAGAATGAGAGAATACAGCAAAGATATAGCAGACCTAACCCTAAGCTAACAGAATTGTACACCACCTAGAGTAAAACAATACAAACTAAAGAAATCACGGTTTTGACACATGGGGCATGGAGCATGGGCCGTGGGCATGGGGCATGAGGCATGGGCAATCGCAAGTGGCACGGCACATGGCGCATGTGTGGCGCACGTGGCATTACATGGGAACAGCATGATGGGAGAAAGGCATCATCGGAGAGTGTGGCAGCTAGGTAGGAAGACAGCATGGGGGGAAGAGTGAAACGCAGAATGGGAGCCCGCATAGATCAACATTACCACGCCTCACTGCCTTTGGGCCTCACTGCCTTTGGCCTCACTGCCTTGGGCCTCACTGCCTTTGGGCTCACTGCCTTTGGGCCTCACTGCCTTTGGGCCTCACTGCCTTTGGGCCTCACTGCCTTTGGGCCTCACTGCCTTTGGGCCTCACTGCCTTTGGGCCTCACTGCCTTTGGCCTCACTGCCTTTGGGCCTCACTGCCTTTGGGCCTCACTGCCTTTGGGCCTCACTGCCTTTGGGCCTCACTGCCTTTGGGCCTCATTGCCTTTGGGCCTCACTGCTTTGGGCCCCACTGCCTTTGGGCCTCACTGCCTTTGGGCCTCACATGCCTTTGGGCCTCACTGCCTTTGGGCCTCACTGCCTTTGGGCCTCACTGCCTTTGGGCCTCACTGCCTTTGGGCCTCACTGCCTTTGGGCCTGAGTGCCTTGGGCCTGAATGCCTTGGGCTGAGTGCCTTTGGGCCTGAGTGAGTTTTGGGCCTGAGTGCCTTTGGCCCTTGGGCCGAGTGCTTTGGGCCTGAGTGCCTTTGGCCTGAGTGCCTTTGGGCCTGAGTGCCTTTGGGCCTGAGTGCCTTACCAAGCCTAAGCGAGCGCCCTACCAAGCCTGAGGGACTTACCATGCCTGAGGGCTCCGAGCCGGAGATTCTTACCGAGCCTGAGGGTCTTACCGTGCGGAGGGTTTTGCCAGCCGATGAAATCAGAGCCACTCCAAAGCAATGGCAAAGCCGATGAGCAGAGGCAATGGCGCTGGCCGCTGGCTGGCGCATGTTGACACACAGTCCAGCACGTTTTGATCATTATGTTGCGCGTGTTCTGTGTAACGAAGGTCCCCGCCTCTATTAGAGAGAAGCGAGCTGGAGGGTGGGATGGGTGGGGGAACGAGGTGGTGGAACGAGGTGGTGGAACGAGGTGGTGGAACGATAGGTGGTGGAACGAGGTGGTGGAACGAGGAGGTGGAACGAGGGAGGTGGAAAGAGGAGGTGGAAAGAGGAGGTGGAAAGAGGAGGTGGAAGGGATACGGGCGATGGCACTGCCGACACACATGTCCAACACGTTCTTTATCATGATTTTTGTCGACTCAGAAATCGACTTATCACACGCGGGTGGCGCTAGCACACATGTCCAACACGTTCTTAATCATCATGATGATGCTGCGTTGGGCGTGTCCTTGTAATGAATGGTGCCCGCCTCTATTAAGAAAAGCCGAGCTGTGCAGTGAGAGAGTGTGTGCGCATGTGTCGAGTGGGTACATGGGATAAGCGCATTTCAATGTAAACAGAGCAAGCAATGTGCCCCTCGATCAGCAAGCAACACAGCTGCGAGGTTGAAAAAAGTGCGACGAGCAGGTATGGCAGTGGTGGGTGCATGGTGAGCGCGTGGGTGCATGGTGAGCGCGTGGTGCATGGTGAGCACACACACACGAGGAAGGGAGGGGTATTTTCAAGAATGCTAAACAAATCATCCACTCATGAGTGAGAGAATGGGATGATGAATGGACCGGATACAGCACTGTTGCTGTAAGCAGAGCACGTGGCCTGGAATAGGTTACTTCCCTGCTACATCCGCTGCTGCTCTCTGCGGCATCTCTGCTACAACCGCCTGTGCTGCTCTCTGCCACCGTTCCGCTATAACCTCACCAGCATGGATAAAGTACAGTCGGCTACAGCCGGGCTGCTTAACAGGCAGCTACAGCCAAGCTGATTGACAGTCAGCTACAGCCAGCTTCGTTCCAGCTTGGCGACGTTCGCTATCATTGTCGCCAGGGGTGCATGCGACACCCTGCGACGATCTGCGACGCTGCTAATCACCTGCATGAAGAGCACGATAAAGGCGGCCATCATCCGCCATATGCCCGTCGTCAGATG